TCACTTCCTGTGCTGAAACACTTACTGAACTCCCTAGGGATCTAACAGTATCTTGCTTCAGCGTTCCCTTGCTAATAGAGATTGAAATACAGCTCAAGAGGAAGAAGATATTTGCATGGGGCATGTAACAATGATAGCAATCCACCCTTCTCACCTAAGAGTTAAGATCTACACTAAAACCCTGGGTATGCTGAGACTCCAGGATACAGAAGCAAGTTGGTTTAGATTAGTGAATACCAAAGAGGAAAAACACATAGGTTACCTTCCAAGGAAATTTGGTAGAGAGCACTCTGGAAAGAATGTGCATACCCAATTACAAGTCTGTTTAAAACATTTAATTTTAGGCCCCAAAAATTATTCCCTGAGCCTAGAAGTCAGCATGAATTAAAATCATTTCCCATACTTGAATGTCTGTCTCATCAGTTCTATTCCCACAGCTGTTCCCCAGACACCACAGGTGGTGAAAACTAAACTTATCTGTTGCACAACAGGAAGGACTTTATTATTATTATTTACTCATAACAATGTTTTGTTTCATCAGCACCTTCAATAAATGCTCTGAACATCTTGTTCCCATCACATGTGTGAATGTAGGAAGAGCAATTTTTATTAGACGGGAAAAAATACGGGAACAATAGAAGTACGTAAAATAAGACATTTTCTCTGAGGAAAGTAGCAACCACCTCAGAACAACCTTAGCATCATGTGAGAAGTAAATGAGAAATAAAGTTGGTTAAAATGTCTCAGACAGTCTTAAATGTGGCGGTGAGGTTATTGGCAATAGTGCTTAGGTACCACGGTGATAGTCCAAGAAATTATTATAATTAACAGATGTATGTCACAAGTACCAACCACGTTTACAGTTAAATGGATGGCTAAAAATATGCGCAAATAAGAGAGCCCTGATATCCATATTTACAATGACGGCAAAGCCTGCATTAGACTGAGGAAAAATAATCTTCTACTTACGTGCACTCTATACTCTCAAAAGCCTGTCTCAAATTATAGGAAAGAACCATAAACTGTATATTGACAGATAAAGAAGAAACTACATAAACATATGATGGATTTAGTTTACTCTTTTGGTAAATTAATATATTTAGACACATCAAATACCTTCCAAACTTTACTCACTTTACAAAGCGAAGAATAGAACCTCCAGTAAAATTTACTATATTCCTCAATCCCTGCAACACCAAAGCAAAGAACACAGATGTGCATTGTACTTGTGACTTTTTACAGTATATAAGGAACACACATTAAAGTGAACATACAGTCATCATATGAATGCTTGAGAAGGGCATATATTGATTGGAAATATGTGATTACACTAATGAGTATTTAAAAACATTACATTAATTCATATTTTAAAGTTTTTAAAAGGCATATATGGAAACTGACTAATCATAATGTAAACTACAAATCCACATTGCAAGATTTTCCAGTTGTTACTTTACTGAAGCCCAGAATAGTGATGTTCTTATAGCGTTCGCCCTCTCCCTTTTCCCTTCCAAACAAGAGAAAGAGCAACCACTGTAAGCATCTGTGACTCCTGGGGTAGAGTAGCATAAGGGTGCAGCCAACCTACTTGGCTTGTAGGCAGCATGATGTCACTGTGGGTACGTGTACACTAGAGCTGGAGGTGTAATTTCCAACTTGGGTAGGCATACCTGTGCTCTGATCCATCTAGTGCACTAAAATAACAGTGTAACTGTGGCTGCATGGCTAACAGTTGTGCCTCAGATTTCAGATAGGATTGTACTCGAGGTAGCTAGCACATCCCACCGCCTGTGCAGCTGCAGCTACACTGCCACTTTGAGAGTGCTAGTTTGTATGTTTAATTGAGCTGGAAATTACACCTTCCAGCTCCAGTGTACAACCACCACCACGCTGACTCACTGGTTCTCAAACCTCATTAAGCTGCACTCCCCCTCTCTCCCTCCCGCAGTCAGTGTGGACTGGCAAGATTCTAATCTATATCCATCTATAAAATAGCCCTTTTAAGAGAGTTTCTTACCTTGGAAAATAAAATCATTTTCAAAAGATTTAAAATATTATCTTTCTCCCTTGTCTTTCCTTTTGTTCAATCCAGTAATAATTAATAAACAACGATACAGCTCTGTAAAAATCAGCAATAAAAGGAGGTAGGAGAAGCATAATTTGTATTTAAAAAATAATGTAAGAAGAAAATTAGTCTTATCCATTTCTCATAGATTTTAAATACTGTAAGGCAGTCAGGGAGCTTTTCTATTCAGAACAAACTATAACTTAATGGGCCCGTGTTCCCTCTTCGTTATCTGTTGGCAAAATCAAGAGCTTCTAGGCATTTTCACTGGACAAGTGGTAGCAGCAAATACTTTAACTTCAAAACACTAGTTTGTGTAAGAGCTTCCTGAAGTAGCAGTCCAAATTACACAGGATAAAAGAAGAAAAGCTAATAGTTAACAGCTACCCTTGCATTTAAATTATATTAAGCTGAAAACCCTTTCCCTCACTAAGAGGGAAATCCTTGTCACCCAATTCCAATCTCAGCTAAATGGGATCTGTATATGTGACTTTCACAGAGATACAAAGGGAACAGAATTCTTCCTCCCAACCACCAGAACATCTACAACGCTGCTCCAGGGTTTCTACTACAAGTATTTACATAGTATTCTGTTCAGTGGAGCCATTTATTTTGCACTTTGCCGGAAATGGCAAAACTGAGGGAAGTCAGGGATGGTAAAAGGGCTTTGTCACGTTCCATCCTTATTGCCTGTAGGTGAAATTTTGTTTAAGTTCAGTAAAGTTTCAACCTTTTGGCTAATTTCTAAATAGAAATACGTTTCCTTTCATTGGTTCCTGTCTTCAGCAGTATATCTCCTCCTCCCTCTGTTGGCTCTGCAGCAGCTGATAACTAAAATAAACTATTCCCAAAAAAGTGGATGTACAAACAGATCAGTGCACGGACCAGAACTACATACTGTGACATTAGAACAGAACCAGCAGATTAAATTTAAAATCCTCCAGTCCACATGATAGAGGTCTGCTTTTGCAGCAGAAGTTGTAGCTGCAGAATGCAGTATTGCTAGTAACAGAAGTCCTGCGCAGCTATTAATATTACAGTTTGGTAGCTGCCTGTTGGGTTTGATAGCCAGCTGCTGGAGAAGGCTAATTTCAAGGATGAGTTCTGCCTACTGTCATTTAGTAGGTTTCAGAGTGGTAGCCATGTTAGTCTATCAGCAAAAACAACAAGGAGTTCTTGTGGCACCTTAGAGACTCCTCGTTTTTGTCATTTAGTAGTTAGCATGTTTGTGTAGTACTGCCCTCTTCTGAATGGAATGTCTTGCTCAAGTGTGATTATGTTGCTCTAGAGCAGGGGTTCTCAAACTTTTCCATTCTGAGCCCCACCCCCCAACATGCTATTAAAACTCCACGGCCCACCTGTGCACAACTGATTTTCTGCTTATAAAAGCCAGGGCCGGTGTTATGGGCAAGCAGTGCAATTGCCTGTGACCCCCCAAAAAGCTAAGTTGCTCAGGCTTTAGCCTCAGCCCCCAGTGGCGGGGCTCAGAGCCCCAGGCTTCAGCTCCATGCAGCGGGGCTTCAGCTTTCTGCCTGGGCCCCAGTGAGTCTAACACTGGCCCTGCTTGGCAGCCCCCCTGAAACCTGTTTGAGGGGCCCCAAGGGGCCCAGGACCCCTGGTTGACAACCACTGTTCTATAGGATATCTGGTCAAAAATTGGGCTTTCCATCCATGGGGAAATTCCAATATTTCAAAATTTGATATTTTCCCAAATCGGGGCAAAAACTTGAATACTAGAATTTTTGGCAGAACAGACAGTCCAACCAGAGGGGAGACCATGGTGCATAATGGGAGTCCAGCCAACAAGTCTGGCGCATAGAGGGAAATGGGGGCATGAGGCACCCAAACTTCAACTTCTAGGAAGCACTGTGGCAGTTCAGGTGACCACAAAATAACATCGAACTGACCCAAAAGGAAATGTTTCTCTTCAAACATTCAGATTTGTCAGATTCAACTCAGATTGACCTGATGCCAAATGAAATATTTAGTTTAAATTTTCTCAACAGAAAATTAATATTTTTGGCAAGGATCAAAAAATTCCCACAGATAATTTTAATTAGAAATGACATTTTCAACTGAAATTTATTTGAGGAAAAATTCCTGACCTGCTCTACCCTAGTGGCTAACACACAAAGTGTATAAAAAAGCCTTAATGATAACAGCCATCAGTGGAATGTCTCTTGGACACAAGTGACTAGAGGGTTGTGTTTTTTGGAGCCAAAGTCAAGCAAGCAAAGACTTCCTTGAGTAAGGACCACCACTTAGAAATGCTTTTTAGAGGAAAGCAGTTCAAACTTAGTCCATTCCAGTGTGTTTTACTCTGACAAGAGAACATGGCTGTGGACTGTTTTAAAGCGATTTGGGGGGAGTTGCAGAGTTGTTTTGTTTTTGGTTTTTTTTGCACTAAGCTACAGATTTAAGTTTCTCAAAATGTAAAATGGGGTGTAATTATTATCCAGCTATCATCACCTCAGTATCTAAACAGAAATTGTAATGTTTTACACCTGGAACAGCTATGGCTGGAAATGGGCTGAATTAGCAGCACTGATTACTAAATATTTTCAAAGGAAATAACTAATGAAACCAGCAGTCCAGCAAACTCCTTCATAAACAAACACTATAAAAGCAAAATAGACACAAGTGGCTCCACAGAAATATTACACACATCCTGTGAGCTTGATTTAAAAAGAATTTTTTTCCAGAAAACTGATACTTAAGGATGTTGCAGAATATTTTTATTTTCACTAAGCCTCATGCAACAAAAAAAGGAAATGCAGACAATCCTTTCCTCCTCCTTTGTCTCTGTTTTCAAACATCTTCCCTTAAACAGAAACTGGATTAGAGAATTAGGGAAAAGCACTGAAAGAGAATCAAATTATTCCAGAAGTTGGTTTCCACAAGAGACCAGTATATACCACAATGCAACTATTCTTACCTTGTCTATCATATCCGGTCGGTTTGTAGCTGCCAAAATTGTCACGTCCTTTAACTGTTCTATCCCATCCATTTCCGTTAACAGCTGAGCCAAGACACGGTCTGCTACGTTCCCAGCACCTGAAGACCTGATTAACAAAAATGCCACAGCATTAGTTTTCCTTTCCCAGATAATTACCAAATGAGAAAGAGTTTACGCTTCCGTAAAACCATTAAAAAAAAAAACACTTTTCATCTTTATAGAATAGCTTTCTGATTTTTCACTTTCATCTTCAGTAGTTGAGGGAAAAAATAACATAAATCATGTAAACTAGTTAAGGCTATATTCCAGAATTAGCCCTTCAAAAGATTTCGCAGTATTCATAAAAACATCTGGACTTGTCATTTACTACCTTGCCACGGTGGACTGGACAAGGTTTTCACACAATATATATAGTCTGGTGTAAATATTTCTAAGGTGGGAATAGCTGGATTCACATGACTTCCTAACTAAACAGACAATACCTCAGTTCCTACCACTATCCAGGTGATTACTTATGCCACCCCATGCAGTACAATGTACAAGTACTTATGCATTTTGCAGTGTTCCACTATATTTTCACTTCTTCAATCTCCATCAAATGAGACCAATTTGAGTGCTAGCCAGCTAACTCATAAAAGCATTTCCTGCCTTTATAATTCATCCATCTGTTTCTCCAGAAGAAGAGAAGAGAGACAAGAGAAGAGAAGCATTGGGGGAAAGAAAGGCACAAGTGTCAAGTTTTGAAATCCCAAAAACATTAAACCCCAAAACAGAGGCATAAAATATTTTATGCATTTGAAGTAGTTTGGGAACGGATTCTAGTCACACTAAAGTCAATGGCAAAACTCAAATACACATGAAAGAAATGTTAAGAAAAAATGTAATTTGGTATTTTCTTTACAGCTTCTAATTTTTTTAAGCTAACTACAATACACTTGAGTTAACTCACAGTACAATCAGCCAACTGCCTTCTGCCCAAGTAAATGTATGTATATAGAAGAGAAAGATGTTGCATAACACAATGTAAAGGCAAAAAGAACAGGAGTACTTGTGGCACCTTAGAGACTAACACATTTATTAGAGCATAAGCTTTCGTGGACTACAGCCCACTTCTTCGGATGCAAGTGGTAGTCCACGAAAGCTTATGCTCTAATAAATTTGTTAGTCTCTAAGGTGCCACAAGTACTCCTGTTCTTTTTGAGGATACAGACTAACACGGCTGCTACTCTGAAACAATGTAAAGGAACTGTATGGTTACTGAAATCCCATTTACAAAACCTTTCTGAAATGTTATGCTTTGGTCTGAAGACATCAATACTAGGTAAAATTATTAATTCAAAAACATTATAAGAACTAGGGGCATGTTGTTTTTAATCAAAAATACTAAGATGTAAAACCTAGGAAATATTAGGGCCATATATACATACGTATTGTGTGTGTGAGAGAAGAAGTTTAATATCAAAGCCAATAGATCATCTTTGCATATAATGAAAATATAATACAATGAGATATATAAAGAGGTAAACTAAACAAGTGCCAGTTCTCTCCTGAAAGAAAAGAAATGGAAAAGTCAGCATCTATAACAGTATCTGAATCAAAATCAGAATAAAGGTTCAGTTATTATTAAAATGCGTTTTTTAAAAACCATAATACTTCTGAATGGAAGCAAAGCTGTGCCTGCAAATTCACAGGCTTGGGACCAGACGCTGAACTCTTGATTTCCGAGATGGGTGAAATTTTCTATTGGGCTAAGCCAAAATACTGGGTCTCCTGAAGGCAAAGACAAATCAGCAGCTTATTCCAAAAGCTCCCTCTGCTGAACAACTGCTGCAAGTAGAGTTGAGAAGTTTAAACAGGTGGGGGAGGAAAGGGCGGGGAGTAAAGCCAAACAGTGTTAAGACTAAAATTTTACTGACCTCAAATAACAGAATTTAAATCATAGAATTAAGGCCTGCTCCTTACAGAGGGTAAAACTCAGACTGTCATCAAATAGGATTTGCCCACCAAAGATGTAAAAGACACAGTAAATCATCCAGGATCAGCCCCCTTGCCATAACAGGATTGCTCCCCACCGACTACTCACATTTCTTCATAACTTTGTGCCACTTCGTCTCCCTGTATTTAAAGGGACACTTTCCAATACATTTTAAAAAATGTTATTCTCCATTATTTAGAATACCTTCCTAGTGATGCTCATTTTATCCTCCTTTCTTTGGTAAATATTTCTTTTGTCCCCGGCACCACTTATATCGCTAAAGGAGCCTTACCATTACAACAATTTAAAAAAATATATTTAAAATAACTAGATTGTGTGCACATACATGCGCACACACAAATAAATAGTATTTGTTGGCCATATTGTAATTTAACAGGAAAAAAATCATACCAGATTTTAAGATACAGAAATTAAAAGTTTTTTATTGTATGTCCTTATTTTTGCAACCTTATGCTGCATGTGTACTAATGCAACACCACTGCTGATGCAATATAAATTTGAGAACAGTGCTTTGAGAAAAATGCTTTAGAGTCAGAGATCATAACTCACAGAATAGTTATTGCTTTTAACATATTGTTGATATTCAGAAACTGGAAGACATCTCCTTCTTCGTTTAATAAATGTTGCCTAGTGCAACAATGGGTGGGCCAAGGGGATTGCTACGAAATATTAGAGAAGGGACTTTCTTTATTAGTCAGCTTTTTTGTTGTGCTGCAGCAGTGTTAAAAATTCCCCAGTGAAATGAGTGCATTTCTAACATACCCAGAGGTCACAGCCCTATCAATTTAAAAGGAGTGGAATGTGATAAAATATTATAGTTGTTTGCAGAAGGTTAGTAAATACTTCTCAAAGGAAATAGATCCTTAAAATAAATTAGAGTCAACTTTTGTAAAGTAAGCTAATCTTAATAGGTAATAAAGCCACCCCATCCTGAAAAGACTTATACATGGACTTAACATCTCACCCTTGGGACTACTCAGAGACATACAATTAGGCATGAAAGTCTCTAAGATCAGGGCCTAAATGAAAATTGCACATGAAAATGGTCTGAAACCAGAAGTCACCAGGAGAGGGGTTTAAGAAATAGCAGGAATACGTGTTTATTGGGGGGTAGGGAGCATTGTATCCTTTCTGATATGAACAGCTACGTTGCAAGTTTCAGTATGGAGACAATGTTTATCCCAAGTATAAAAATCATGGACAGGGTGGACTTGGAAAGTAACTGAACAGCATCTAAATTAATCTCATTGATGGCAAAATCCCCAAAAGTTTTCAAAGAGTGAAAAGAAAAGTTAAATTACAAACTACATGCTATGTGTACATAAGGCTTAAGAACATACTCTCCTCTCCCCACTCCCACAATACTGTACACTAATCCAACAGCATGAACTCCTACATCCATGCAGAGCCCCACTGAAGTCAATGGCATTTGATACCAGACCAACAGCCCAAGATAGCAAATCCCAATGAAGAAATGTGGTCTTTTTTTATTATTTGGCAACAGATAGGAAATATGCTACAGGCAGAGGAAAAATACTTTATAGTAAAGACAGGTGGCTGAAAAAAAATTAATAAAATGTCTGAAAATAAAATGCCTGATACACAGACAACTGCCTTGAATTTGCATGTATTTACTCACTGAACTAGATGGTCATATTGAGCACCATATTTAGCCTGTATTCTACAGTAAATAAACTCTTTTGACTTAACAGGATATCCTATAAAAATGCAGACAGGCACACATTTATCGTTAGAGATTTCTTCACCAGCTGCTCCAGAACTGCGTCATCACCATGTGCTCCAAGGAGCTCCAGTGCCGCATAAACCGTTAATCTGAAGGGTGACATACAAGTATGCATTTTTCCATTTTCCCATGATTTCCCAGCAAGGGTTTCAAATTAATGCAGGCAATGCTCATTAAGGCTGCCTGGACTTCTGATACATACGGCAGTCAGAAAAAGAATTATGATTAGCCCTCCAATCCTACTTACACATTGCCAAAACCAACGACCAGTCAAGCAGACTCCCCGCCCCCCCACACACACACCTGACTTCCACACATTGATTTCATCATCACAACTACACAGAAACAGTCCTCAAAAGGCACGTACTGGTACAGACTCATTTCCTGTCAACAAACTGATTGAGAATGAAGGCAGTCAAAATTAAGCGTTTGAGAGAGAGTGCACGCGTGCCTTACCCTCACCACAAATTCCCAGAACTCCAAACTAAAAGAGGGGGTAAGAGAAATCTGGCAGCTTCATTACTGCCTAAGAATTTTAAATCATTTGTAATGTTGGGAAAATAAAACGACAGTTTTTTTTAAAATATGAAATAGGATTAATGTTTGTACAGTGCTCTGAAAAATGTAAAGCAGTAGCTAAGTACTAAACATTACTATCAGTTTGCGAGTCATTCTTTCTGTGTATGGATTAATTTTTTTGTCAAATCTTCTTTAACCCACTTTCTACACATTTACAATAATCTCTTACAGCATAGCACTTATTTTTTTTAAATAACTTGGAGCCAGCCTTACTTACTGCCACCCTTACTCCCACTGAAGTGTAAATAACTCTGCAGGTAGCCTGTCGGTTTCAGAGAGCATGAGTATGCAGGTCTTTACTCATAACATAAAATGCCCTGAATTCCAAAGTATGCCAGGTGAAACTATTTATATATTAATGGCACTATTTAGTGTAAGACAGACAGACTAGGCTTCAATAGTAGTGAAAGATCCATTTCCCATGCACATTCTGAAGTGAAAGATTCCTAGAATACAGGTGTATTTTATATTGCATCAAGGTCTTAAAATTAACCACTGCTATCTGATTGACAACCAAAGCAGCATATATGCTGCTTAACATATGGGATTCTGTGATAGGGTGCACTGGCACCAGGACAAACAAGGGGTTAACCTCAGTTCACCTTCCTCCTCCCAGCTCCTGGAGACTGATCCAATGCCCATTTAAATTAGTGGGAGTCTGATTTCAATGGGTGTTGCATCTGGCCATCTTTGCACAGATGCCCAAAGAAAGAGCTGTAAGAGTGGCTGCTTGGGTGAAGGTGGAAAGGAAAGTAATGCATTTGGGAAGGTATGGCTCCATACCCAG